GCTGCGTGCCATGCACGAGAGCCATGCCATGTGTTTACCCCTTGAAACTTTGAAGGAGCTCGACTAACTGTCAAATTTGACAGGAAGAGGTGTAATTTCGACATATCGAGGCCATCAAAGAACATGTCATTGATGGCAACTGCCCACGAAGTCAGACTGGGAGGCCATCGAGTCGACGCGGGGGCGACGAAAGCTTCCCCGACACCTCTTCCTTCGTCACACCTACCGGTTTTCGAATTGAAGCGTCTAAACCCGCTGCTCTTGGCAGTTCGTTGCTGCGTGGAGTAACTGAGCACGGGTTGGTTTGGTGAGCTGATCACTCGGCAGTCTCAGGAGCATACCCGCCACCTTTGCGACTACCGCCGTGTGCATTTCGAGCTCGACCAAAAGTAACGCGCCGCATTAAATTGCCGCTGGACAAGTACAGTTGGGGCGCGGTAGGGTCGTGGGCTTCGCTTGAGGGGAGCGCCGTAGAGCGGGAGGAGGTCCAGCCATCGAGCATTGCAGTGTAGCTAGTAGAGCGGGAAGGACAGTCACGCCGAACGTGACCCTTGTGGACCTCTAAATGGTTCACTGTTTTGCTCAGATGCGTCATTATTCAGACGATGCCGCGTCTGAATTTCTACCCTATGGTGATCGCGGAAGCTGCGGTACATCGGGTCCAGAGGTCTCTCTGTTGAGCGACGTTCTATTAACTCTGTTTAATGAATATGCTGCTTCCAAGTGTCCGGTTGAATTCACCCAGAAAAAAACTCGGTGTCCTCTGAATGGGGCCCTCGGCGCAGAAATAAGAACAAGAACTTGCAAGAACCCTATCATACGGATGTGCCTACTGGAGATAAGAACTCTTGAAAATAAGAACATGTGCTCAATTTGAGGCAACGAATAAGCATCGAGCCTCGGCCAAAACAAGCGGGCGCCATCTGTATAGTCGACCCATCCGCGAAGTCTAGAATAGCCCACAGAGACGAAATCCGCGATGACTTCCAATAAGGGCTACTTGTATTGGTTGCGTACACGGCAATGGGAACATAACACACGCTACAACCACTCATTTTGTCGGGAGAGATAAGGACACAGGACACAGGCCAACATAGACTAGAGCAGTTGGATTTCTATGCGGACGAGAGAGTCCGCAAGGTCTGTTGGCGACAGATCAACCATTTTTGCGGTATATAGAGAACCAGCATCGCTTTACATGACTCAATCGAAGGGCGAAGAGCGGTGTGGGGAGCGGCACAAGGTTGGGCTGCACCCAGTGGCGGCCAGAGGGGCAGGTTGGGCACCAACTACAACCTGGCGGGAGGGGGTTTGGGAG